TATCAATTGTCCGGAAAATCCCATCTGGTTCACTAATGCCCTTCAGGGAAGGAAATTGCCATCCTTACCTAGTCTGATCTACATGTGACTCCAGACCCATAGCAATAGTGGTTGACTCTGAATGCCTTCTGGGCAATTAGAAGGAATGTGCAATAAATGCTGCCTGGCCGGTGACATCCTCATTCTGTGAACGAATAAAGGAAAAGAAAATGGTGTGCTACAGGAATCAGTATTGGTACCTCAACTGTTTATAATTTATACAAAAAGTGACTTAGAGACAGAAGTTAAGGTTGTCAATGTTGCTGATAAGAGACAGGAAAGTACATTGGAAATAGGACATAAGGATGCTACAAAAAAGATAGATAGGTTAGGTGAGTGCACAAAGAAGTGACAAATGGAATATAGTGCGGGACTAGCTCCTGGAGTCTGTCGGACAAGGAAATGCTGGAAAGACTAGATTTGTATTGATTGGAGTTTAGAAGAGTAACAAGTGATGGGATTACAACAAAAAGATCCTGAGGGGTCTCAGTAGTGTGGACGTGGAGAGGATGCTTCTTCAAGAAAAACCGTGAATCCTGGGGTTACTACTTCAAAATTAGACGTCATTATTTAAAACAAAGAGGAGGCAAATTATTCCTTCAAAGGGAATTCCTTCCGGTAACGAGGTCAGCCAAGTGGACCTTATAGAATAATGAGTTCCCTAACTGGACCAAGTTAACATCCCCAATCAGGAAGCCCTGGCTGACAGATATAAACAGGAGTGTCAGAGGCTCTATTCACTCTGATCCAGCTCCCAATGTCAAGGACTCTCCCTGTGTAAATAAAGGGTGACTTGGTGAGGGGTAGCGGTCTCTGTGGAGTTATTTCACTTTCTTCCTAAAAAGGTGGTGGAGTATTTTTTAAAGGCAGATTTTTTTTTTCCTTTATTCATTCATGGTATGAGGTCGTTGCTGGCTAGGCAGCATTTATTGCCCATCCCTAGTTGCCCAGAGGGCAGTTAAGGGTCAACCACATTGCTGTGGGTCTGGAGTCACATGTAGGCCAGACCGGGTAAGGATGGCAGAGATAGTAGGAACTGCAGATGCTGGAGAATCCGAGACAACAAGGTGCAGGGCTGGATGAACACAGCAGGCCAAGCAGCATCATAGGAGCAGAGAGGCTGACGTTTCGGGCCTAGACCCTTCGGGTTCCCGAAGGTTGCAGGAACAGCAACTCATATTCCGCTTGGGAACCCTGCAGCCCAATGGTATCAATGTGGATTTCACAAGCTTCAAAATCTCCCCTCCCTACCGCATCCCAAAACCAGTCCAGCTCGTCCCTGCCTCCCTAACCTGTTCTTCCTCCCACCTATCCCCTCTTCCCACCTCAAGCCGCACCTCCATCTCCTACCGACTAACCTCATCCTGCCCCCTTGACCTGTCCGTCCTCCCTGGACTGACCTATCCCCTCCCTAACTCCCCACCTACACTCACCTTTACTGGCCCCATCCCCGCCTCTTCGACCTGTTTGTTTCCTCTTCACCTATCCTCTCCTCTATCCCTCTTCTATCCGCCTCCCACTCTCTCCCTATTTATTTCAGAACTCCCTTCCCCACCCTCTTTTCTGATGAAGGGTCTAGGCCCGAAATGTCAGCCTCTCTGCTCCTATGATGCTGCTTGGCCTGCTGTGTTCATCCAGCCCTGCACCTTGTTGTCTCAGGTAAGGATGGCAGTATCCTTTCCTAAAAGACATTAGTGAACCAGATGGGTTTTCCCTGACAATCGACATGGTCATCATTAGACTTTTAATTCTAGACATTTATTGAATTTAAATTCCACCATCTGCCATGGCAGGATTTTTGTGATTTGCTGCAAAATGAAGGATTCAATTACCAAGATTTATCTGAATGAAAGAAGAAGATGTTTCATTGTGCATTAAGCTCAATGTGGGGGTGGGGGGTGGGGAGGGGAACACCCACAGCGTGACATCAAGCATGCGCACAAACATGGGTAGTAAGTTTAAAATGGAATATGCTTGGTACAGAGAAGGAGAATAAGGATTGTGTGTGTAAAGTCCTGGAGTTGTTACATTCATAATCTGAGATGCCAGTTGTTTATTGGTTGACTTGTATCTTCCATGGTCAATGGAATCGGAATCCTTCTGACTTCTTGGAAGATGGTTGTTGTCTCAATTTGTATTTTCATCAGATGCTGTATTTAGAGATGACGAGACCAGGCAGAGAGAGAGAGAGAAAGAAACAGACTTCCATTTCTTGCTTGTAAATCCATTTTCCTTCTGTTTTGCTCTGTTGCTGAAAGGAAGCTATTGGAATGTAGTTCAGCGTGTATTCCTAGTCTAGGTTCATGGTCTTTCCAAGCTCGCCAACAGGTAGCCAGGTTTCTCATTCACCTGATTTAAGAGGAGCTGATAGCCGAGTGCTATTATCACCAGATGATTGTTCACTTTGACAGTGCATTTTATTTTATACCATGCGTACTTTGAAAATTAACGTCTGTTGGTCAGTTTGATCTGATACAAAATAATTCTTTGAAAACCAATAGCCAGGATTACTTTCTGAAGTTGTTTTCATGACATACCTTCTTGGCATACGTTTGAGACTCACCAGCCCAGCATATTGATGTTAAATGTTCTTGAAGTAAGGGTCTAACTGCAGTAATTACTGAACAATATCAAAACAGGTGCCAATAGCAGACATCAAAACAGAAAGCCATCCCTAAACCCACCAAGAACAAAACACTGTCAATGTAAAGCAAATCTGTGCTCCAATTCAGCTGGTATTAAATTCTATGCGTTTATCTGCATTAGAAATCCATAAAGTGAAGCACGTTATCAAGACTCAGTACCAAACTCATCGTCATTGTCAGGGTCAAGGGGATATACAGCACAGAAACAGACCCTTCAAGTCCAAACTCATCTATGCTGACCAGATATCCTAAATAAATCACATTTGCCAGCATTTAGCCCGTATCCTCCTAAACCCTTCCTATTCATTTACCCATCCAGATGCCTTTTAAATGTTGTAATTGTACCAGCCTCCACCACTTCCTCTGGCTGCTCATTCCATACATGCACCAGCCTCTGCGTGAAAAAGTTAATCTTCAGGCCTCATTTAAAACTTTCCCCTCTCACCTTAAACTTATGCCATCTAACTTTGGACTCCCCTCATGATTTTATAAACCTCAAATTAGGTCACCCCTGTCTCCAACACTCCAGGGAAAATAGACCCTCCCCACATAGCTCAAACCCACCAACCCCAGCAACATCCTTGTGATTTTTTTCTGAACCCTAAGTTTCACAACAACTTTTCTATAGCAGGGAGACTAGAATCAAATGCAGTATTCCAAAAGTGGCCTAACTAATGTCCTCTACAGTCACAACATGACCTTCCAACATGGCAAAACCTACAAAATACAAAACTAGGGATCTCTCAACACATCAGGCAACATTTCTCTCTCAACGGATACCATACAGAATGCAGATTAGCAGGTCATTCATCTTGTTCCCATGTGCAAAATGGTTGTCACATTTATTTTATTCTTTCACGAGATGTGATAATCTCTGGCAAGGCCAGCCTAAGTTGCCCAAACCTCAATTTGCTTAAAATAGGCTGGGCAGGCCATTTGGGGGATGTGTAGATCAGATTAAGTTAGACCATCTTGATAATTCCAGATTTTTGAATTGAATGTTAATTCCTTTTGCTGCATTTTGAACCAATGTCTCAGACCAGTAGCCTGGGCTTCCTTGATTATTTGACATTATCACAACTACTTCCCCAGTTTTAGAGCAATAACCACTGCCCTTTGCGGTAATTCGTTGATCAGAAATGACAATATAATCTGGTGGAAAACTGAAATAGGATTCCGTTAATACAAGACTTCCAGTCACAAGACCTTTTGCTTGCAGATTCACCAACCTTGGTCAAGCCAACTGATGGCGAAGGCTTTCCACTATTAATGCTGAGAATATTATGTACCATTTTGGTCTGCATACCAGAGGAGAGATGGGGTGGTAGTGTAGGGAGTAAGTTTACCAGGTTGACTCCTGGGGTGGCAAGACTAATGTATGGGAGAGAAGCCGCTTCAATTAGGACTATATTCATTAGAGAGTTTAGAAGAGCGCGTGCGTATGCACATGCACGAATGTATGTATGGATGTGATGGGCAAGCACCTCAGAATTTTTATAGGTTTCTAACAGGATTAGACATGAGGCACAAGAAGGATGTTCTTGATGACCCAGGAATCTAGAACCAGGGGTCACAGTCTAACAATATTGGGTAGGCCATTTAGGACAGAGATGAAAAGAAATTTCTTCACCCAGAGAGAGAGTGAACCCGTGGCATTCTCTGCCACACAGAAAGCAGTTGAGGCCAAAAGGTTTTAAGGAAGTAGGGGTAACACAGCATGGAGCTGGAGGAGCAGCAAAGTTGACGTTTCGGTTCGGGACCTTTCTTCAGAAAAATGCAGAAGGGTCCCGACCCAAAACATCAACTTTCCTGCTCCTCTGATGCTGCCTGGCCTGCTGTGCTCCTCCAGCTCCACACCCGTGTTATCTCTGACTCCAGCATCAGCAGTTCTTAAGAAAGTAGGTATAGTTTTTAAGGCTGAAAAAGGATCAAAGGATATGGGGAGAAAGCAGAAACAGGATAGGAGTTTGATAAGCCATGATCGTATTGCATGGTGAAGCAGGTTCAAAGGGCCGAATGGCCTACTCCTGCTCCTGTTTTCCATGTTTCCATGTATCCGTGCAACATACCTCTCACTGACCTCAATTAAGGAACAGGGTCAAGCAGAGCATAACGTTTCTAAAAGCCAAACATCACAAGAGTGAAGGCGGAAGGGAATTGCATTCTGTGTCGACTTCATACTCAAACAGAGTTGAAAGAGTTGCTTTACACTGGACTCAAATTAGAGCACAGCCAAGTGTTGTTAATGCAGATAGGGCATGCCAATGATGGAGGAGATATCACTGCTGTCAAATTGCACAATGGCAAGTAGTTGCCTTCCAACTTAAAATAAAGACAATAGGAACGCTTTAGAAAATAGCTCTAGAGTTTTAGTTTCTTTGATCCACTGACAGTAATATTCACTCATCAAGTATCAGTTATCAAAGACATTTGAACAAGTTGAAACATCTGAAATAATTGACCAATGCCATAATTATTATATATTACTGTATCACAGGCTTTGACTCACAACATTGATACAGGAGAAAATCATTTACATTATAATCCATTTACATCACAGCTCTACCCATGCCCATGAATGCACCATTAAACTCTCATGTCGGTCATTTGATGGAGGTTGTTGGGCAACAGTTGTGTGCGTGTGTGTGCGCGCGCATGTGTGTGTGTGCGTGAAAAAGCTGGTTGAGGGGGAAAGAGTGGGGTGGTGGTTGAAGAGACAGGTGGAAATTCAAGAGGAGGAAGGGCTCATGGTCAGGCCAGTTGTTTTGATGGACAACAATGGTTGTAAGGTGAAAGAAATGCCACCACAGTCAGCTCAGTGGTCAGAGCTTGTGGTCAACTTTCAGCAAAGCCTACAGACCTCAATTTGTGCCAGTCTCACCCAATCGAATAAAAATTATGTTCCGATCAGTGACACACTTGTGAAAATACTAAAAAAGCTTGAGATGGAATACATACATAATCAAATATATATATATTTACACATACATACACAAACATACAAATATCCCTTTAAATCAGAAGATTTAAAGTACATATGGTTGGAATGTGGATGCAGATACAGCATCATAATGACTATCACAATGTGCGTGTGAACTGCAGAAAAACAAAATCACAATACCATTACATTGAAGATAGTGTGGAGGTCCTATATCCTGTACACTCTGCTTCAGAAAGCAAATCTGTGATGTTGAAAAATCATGATATTGTTTTCTACAGGTCCTCACAATTGAAAAAGTCTGGATTAGTATGAAAAAGGGAAAGGGTGAGGGTTGGATTGGGTTGATGGACTGGAAGAACACTAACCATTTTGTTTAAATGGTCAGTCTCCTGCTACCACAGACACATTCTCCAACTTTCTGTTCAACTTTCTCCAAAAGAGGGAAATCAAAGAGACATTTCAAGATTGGGACAAAAGAGTTTTGTAGCACAAGTATTGCTTGTAGTAAAATGGACAAGGTGGCACTTGCTGGATTAGAGTCAAAAATGCCAGCTACTTTGGTCAGTCCTTAAGCACTGATACACTAAGAACACATCTCCAGACACATTGTGATGCATAGCACATGGGGTACACCCGCTTGATTCTGTTATCCTTTAATGCTCTGTATCCATTGCATCCAAATACTTGGCTTCGATTATTCGAGGGAGGATGTAGTATCTGTGAATAAACAAGAGTTTATTATGGATATAGCCTACACCCTAATGTCTGACTTTTTCTTCCCCCCCCCCCCCCGCAAAGGTGGTACTCTGGTCCACCACTAAGGTACATCTCCCTTACAGACATGAATTTAATTTTTACATTAATTCATGGAATGAGAGCATTGCTGAGCTAGCATTTTTTGCCCATCCCGACAGTGGATAGTTAACCACATTGGTGTGGATCTGGAGTTACACATAGGCCAGAACAGGGGAGGACAGCAGGTTTCCTTTCCTAAAGGTGAACCAGATAGGTTCTATTTTCCTCAACAAAAAAAAAAAAAGTAGTGTTTCAGGGTCATCATTAGACCTTTGCGTTCTAGATTCCTCTTGAATTCAAAATTCCACCACTTGCCTTGGTGGGATTTGAACCTGGGTCAGATGAATGACTTTCAGTGGGAGAGCACTTTGGTAACAGTGATCACAACTCCTTACGTTTTAAAAGGTAGCTATGAACAAGGATTAGTCAGGAACTTGTGGGAAGGTACTAAATTGGGGGAAAGCAAATAACGTCAGTATTAGACAGGAGCTAGGAGGTGCTAATTCAGAGTAGTTGTTATCAAGCAAGTCCACACTTGACACATGGGAACTGGGGAGAGTTCAAGACCGGCATGTTTCAATAAGGAGGAAGGATAAAAGGTGGCAAGCTAAGGAACTCTTGGATAACAAGGGAGGTTGGGAGTTTAGTCAAAAGGAAAAAAGAAGCATGAGGAATATAAGGAAAGCAGGCAAGTAATCGAGCAGGGAATTAGGAGAGCAAGAAGGGGCCATGAAATGACCTTGGCAAGTGGAGTTAAAGAGAATCCCAAGGCATTCTATAAATACATTAAAAACAGAAGGATAACTAAGGAGAAGGTAGGACCACTCAGGGATAAAGGAGGGAACTTGTGCTTGGAGGCAGAGAATGTGGGTGAGATCCTAAATGAGTACCTTGCATTGGTATTCACCCAGGAAATGGATAAAGGAGAATAGGGAGATTTCTGTAGAACGTGCTAATATGCTAGGGCATTCAAGAAAGAAGTGGTGTTGGGTCTCTTGAAGAGCATTAGGTGGATAAGTCTCCAGGGCCTGATGGTATCTACCCCAGGTTATTGATTCAGCCAAGAGAGGAGAAGTGGGGCCTTAACCAAGATCTTTATATCCTCACTAGCCACTGGAGAGATCCCAGAGGACTGGCAAAGAGCTAAGGTTGTTCCACTGTTCAAGAAGGTGAAATAGGGATAATAGGGATAACACAGACCAGTTAATCTCTCATCAGTGGGGAGACTTGATAGAAGTTTATAAAATTAAGGGATGCATAGATAGGGTTGACAGTCAGAACCTTTGTCCCAGAGTTGAAATGTTTCAATACTAGGGGACATGTTCTAAGGAGAGGTGAGGGGCAAGGTTCTTTTTTTAAAAAAAAAAAAAAACAGACTGGTAGGAGTCTGGAACACACAGCCAGGTGTGGTGGTGGAGGCAGATACGATAGGGGAGGCAATGGCCTAGTTGTATAAATCGCTGGACTGTTAACCCAGAGACCCAGATAATGTTCTGGGGATCCAGGTTCAAATCCTGCCACAGCAGATGGTAGAACTTAAATTCAATAAATATCTGGGATTAAGAGTCTAATGATGATCATGAATCTATTGTTAATTGTTGGAAAAACCCATCTGGTTCACTAATGTCCTTTAGGGAAGGAAACTGCCGTGCTTACCTGGTCTGGCCTATATGTAACTCCAGACCCACAGCAATGTGGTTGACTCTCAACTGCCCTCTGGGCAATTAGGGATGGGCAATAAGTGCTGCCTGGCCAGTGGCACCCTCATCCTGTGTATGAATTTTAAAAAAATGAGCACTGAATATGCAAGAAATGGAGGGATATGAACCACTGGCAGGCAGAAGGGATTAGTTTCATTTTGTGTCATTTTCAGCACATCATGGGCCGAAGGGTCTGTTCCTGTGCTGTCCAGTTCTACATTATCATAGAAAATCACAGATTCCCTACAGTGAGGAAACAAGTCCTTTGGCCCAACAAGTCCACACCACCCCTCAGAGCATCCCACCCAGACCCATCCCCCTATGACCCACCTAATCTACACATCCCTGGAAACTATGGGCAATTTAGCATGGCCAATCCACCTAGCCTGCACATCTTTGGACTGTGGGAGGAAACTGCAGCACCTGGAGGAAACCCATGCAGACACGGGGAGAATGTGCAAACTCCACACAGACAGTTGCCCGAGGTTGGAATTGAAGCTGGGTCCCTGGCGCTGTGAGGCAGCAGTGCTAACCACTGAGCCACCATGCCACTCTGTTAACATTTCCTCGGCGTCCGGATTAATACGCTGACGAGGCCACTCAGCCTTTGCCTCTGTCACATCCATTTATCTCAAATGGCATCAAAGCCTTTTGAACACATACACAAGCATTAGTCCACAACTCAAGATTAGAGGGCAACTTTGGAAGGGCCACCTGACAAGAAATAAAGGACTAACCTGACTGGGACCATGGCAAGCATGATTGGGGGAAATACCATCTTCAAGTAGGGAAGTGGAGCCATGCCAAAGCCACAGAGAACGGCGATCTCAATCAGCTGGAGGCCGGTGAAGTAATGGATCTTCCTCTGGGGAACTCTCCTGATGTAGTGGGTAGGGGGATAAGACGTCTAGACCCAGATTTGAAAAACAAAGACAACAATTACACAAAATACAGCACTTCCATCAAGTTAAACTACAGAGGGGTGGGCAGGCTGTGGGAGAACAGGGAGCAAAAGGATTGGTTGATAAGTTTGGTTAAACAATTCTGGGTTTGTTGGAACACAAGGAATGGAAGTCATTGAGCCCCTCAGTTGATCAAAGACATCACGTGCACCTCTCTCACTTCTGAACCATTGCCCTTGATAAACTTAACCAAAAGTCTATTTCTGTCAGTTTGCAATATTCCCAGCGGTCACAGCATCCACAAAGGTTTTTTTTGAAGACAATGGGGGTTGAGGTTGGTATTGTGGGGGTGGGGTGCACAAGCGATTCAGATTTCTGCTCATGGCAAGGCTATTCCTCCTGGCTCAGAGTGTGTAAAACAAAACAAGCAAGGCTTTTTTTTTTTTTTTTTTTTACAATAATCATTCACGGATTGAGGGCATCGTGGGCTTGGCCAGCATTTTAGTTCGAATTACTAATTGCTCTTGAGAAAGGCAATTAGGAACAGGCAATAAATGCTGGCCTATCCAGTGACACCCACGTGAATAAAAAGAAAGTGACAGAAATTTGGGACAAATGCCTTCCTTCCATTTGTGAATCATGGCAGGCTGGTACAAAAGGTGAAGTCACTTGGTATCGGGGGAGCTGGCAAGATGGACACAGTACTGGCTTTGTCATAGCAAACAGAGGGTAGCGGTGGAAGGATGCTTTTGACTGGGTGGTGCTCCACAAGGATCACTGCTGGGACCTCTGCTGTACATGGTCTACGTAAACGAGGATACAGCAGGATATCGACCAGTTGGAGGCATGGGAGAAAAATGGCAGATGGAATTTAATCTGGACAAAACGCAAGGTGATAGAAGCCAATGGATGTTGGGACACTGAATGCTACAAGGGATATTGGACGAAGGTGGGAAATGGAAGGAAGGTCAAGGAGCAGTTATAACCTTAGTGAATGGCAGACAGGTTTGAGGGGTGCATGGCCTACTCCTGCTCCTATACATTAAGTTGAAAGGCAAACTTTACAAGGCCAAGAAGCATCTGGTTTGTGTTAATGGTTTGGACAGCTTGCCCCTACTTCAGCTGCTCTGTAAACTTGCAGCACAAATTCATTGAGAGTAGCACCAAGACGACAGGGGATGCACAGTCACACTGCGTTTTCAACCACACACACTGTTTCCAGTAAGCATTTAACACAGGGCAGCATGGTGGCTCAGTGGTTAGCACTGCTGCCTCGCAGCGCCAGGGACCCCGGTTCAATCCCACCCTCGGGCGACTGTCTGTGTGGAGTTTGCACATTCTCCCCCGCGTCTGCGTGGGTTTCCTCCCACAGTTCAAAGATGTGGCCATGCTAAATTGCCCATTATGCCCAGGGATGTTTAGGTTAGGTGGGTCTGGGTGGGATGCTTTTCGGAGGGGCGGTGTGGACTGGTTGGGGCCAAATGGCCTGGTTCCCACACTGTAGGGATCTTACGATCACAGGCGGCAACTGGGACATGCAGAAAAGAACCACCTTCTGCAGTAGCCAGGGTCCTTTACCATCGAGAGCATGAGCACTACTGTTTCAAACACACCATGGAGCTCAGGGAAAACAGTCAGTCAGTCAGTCAGTCATTCATTCTACACTCTATATTTCAATCTGAAAGAATTGGTAAATACAGATATGGAGAAGGAAATTATAACCAGGCTCATTACAAAAGATTGATTTTTTCAAAAGAAAGTAAGTATGATAAAAGACAATGCATGCGTATGTTTGTGGAAGAAAATTTTAGCGCCTTTTGCAGACTTCCTAAAATTTAAAAACTCAATTCCATAAATATGACTTGATTATTTGCAGTGTTTAGAAAAAGTGTAACTAATTGATTTCCAATTACTTTTTCCCTTACAAAAAAAAGTTGCTGGAAAAGCTCGGCAGGTCTGGCAGCATCTGTGGAGGAGAAAACGGTTAACGTTAACTGTTTTCTCCTCCACAGATGCTGCCAGACCAGCTTTCCAGCAACTTTGTTTTTGTTCCTGATTTACAGCATCCGCAGTTCTTTTGGTTTTTACTTTTTCCCTTACTCCATCAAAATCAATATCTGCTCTTCCACGCTTGTGCACCAGGGAAAATGCAGCAGGTTATTGACTGCAACGTTTCCGTCTTTCTTCCAGTTAAAACTACTAGCTACACCAAAACTAGCAACTGATTGAGCCCCTTTAACAAACAGACACTTTTGCAGGCACTAAATGGGGATAAAAAGGTTAGCAGGTCAGGGCAAGTCGCTTCCAGCTGAAGTGTTGCTCTGTGGAGGCCGTTTCCAACTTTACCTGCTCTTTGAACAGAAGGGCCAACCTCTCAAAAAACTGGCACCCATCGATGGAGGTCGCGGAAACATAGAGGAACAAGCCATAGAGGACTGGTTTTGGAATCCACTGCAGAGGGATGGGCAACATCAGGAGCGAGATTCCCACCAGTATGTGCGCCACAAGAGCAGACACTCGGGTCTCCCTTACACGAACAATCCTGAGAGAGATACAAGGGGGAGAGAGAAATTAAAAAAAAAAAACATCAACAACACAACACACAGGTAAGGTAACAAGGTGTAGAGCTGGATGAACACAGCAGGCCAAGCAGCAGAGGAGCAGGAAGGCTGACGTTTCGGACCTAGACCCTTCTTCAGAAATGGGTTAGGGTTAGTCTCAGTTTGTCGGAGCATCCATGGATGACGTCCACACACACACAGGTAAGGTTCCATTGCAGATGCAGACAAGCTTCTTACGGACTGAAGATCCACTCTTGAATAAGCTCTCCTATAATTTAGTCATCTGTTTGACTGCTCTGATTGCACTAAAAGTGCATACTTTTAATCAGGATGTGTAAACAATGTGAATGGCACACCTGGCAAAAAAAAGGTCCCATTTGTTGCGAGCTTTTGTTTTTCTCCTATTTGTTTTTTCGCGGGATGTGGACGTTGCTGATGTGACATTGGAAAAGCCATTTGTTGGCAAAACGTTGGCAGAAGAGGATTTGCTCAGCTCAGGATCAAGGAAATTGTCAAAACAGTGTCAGCAGGCCAAGTCCACATGAACAGAGGGCAGGGCAAGCAACTGAGCTGATCGTCAGGGAACGGATTTTGTGTCAGGGACTGTAGACACAGTTTTCTCTTTCCTTTATTAGTTATTTCTCTAACAAGAGATGTTGCAGAACAAGCCTAACACTGTACCTTAGCCAAAGTGCATGCTCGCAATAAATAATGCTCAAGTGCACTTCTGTAGAGATTATGTCAGGCACTATATTTTATAACAGTGACTGCACATCAGAAAGTAATTCACTCTGAACTGCTTTCAGGCAGTGTGCCACAATCAATGCATTTAAAGGCTGTTTAATTCAATTTATACTGATATTCCACTGAGAGATTAGTCATACAATCTCGTGCCTTCGGGCTTATTGAGGCACAAAATTTATTTCCTTACTGCTCCCCGTTTGCATTAAAACATTAAAAATTGCTGATGCTAACAAAAACTGATGCGGTAATTTATAAAGGCAACAAAAATACAAAAACAACTCCATTGGAACACGAATGTCCCGGAAAATGTAAAGCAGCAGAAATGAGCTGAAGAGAGCCTCAAGCCCATTATGAGGGTTAAGAGGCTACGTGTGCTTGGAGATCTTTGACCTGGAAGAGAACAGGAAACAACTTTTGAAAATGAAGGAGAAGTGATTTTTTTTATTAAAATTCGTTCATGGGATGAGGGCATCACTGGCCAGGCAGCATTTACTGCCCATCCCTGATTGCCCAGAGTCAACCACATTGATGTGGATCTGGAGTCACATGTAGGCCAGACCAGGTAAGGATGGCAGTTTCCTTCCCAAAAGGGCATTAGTGAACCAGATGGGTTTTTCCAACAATGGGCAATGGTTTCATGGTCATCATTAGATCCTTAATTCCAGATATTGATTGAAATCAAATTCCACCATCTGCCATGGCGGGATTCGAACCCCGGTCCCCAGAATATTATCTGGTCTCTGGATTAAACAGTCCAGCGATAATACCACTAGGCCATTGCCTCCCCAGGAGTCAAATCCAGATTTATTTGTGCCTGCCCTCAGATCAGCTGATAGTGGTCCTTAAAAAGGTTGAAGTGAGGTTTGATAGACACCATTTGGTCATGGAACCCATTTGAGAATATGGCTTACTGCAGTCTCCTGATCCAAAGCTTTAGTTGGGACTTGGCAACATGCAATCATTCAACAATCATCAGGAGTAGCCCAACATCCTAATATATTTGCAGATGAAAACTTGAACCAAGTCCCCATCTGACTTCACAGCTAGACATACAAGATCTCCCATCAGGAAGGATGGCCCAGAGACTTGACCATTACTGTTTCTCTAGAACACTTCTTCCATTGCTGTTTATGGGGCCTCAACATCCTTCAGTGTAAAGGTTCCATCTTCCTCATGACCGGTTATCCAAGGGAACTTCCGTTTCATTCCTCATGCCTCTGAATTACCTCATCTATTCTTCTCATTATGAAAAAAAGGCAATTTTTCAAAGCAATTTCCTGCTCTTATAGGTGAAGCATACTGACCTTCAAAACCAAGTATCATATCCTCAAACCTTACCAAAGCATGTTGCGTTATAGTCACCATCCTAGAGAGAGTGTCCTACCCAACTGCATGGAGGGTGTACCTTCACTACACAAACTGCCCTGGTTTACGACCACAGCTCAACACTTTTCTCAACAGCAGGTTAGAACAGACAAGAATCATTGGGATCATCAGTGATGCCTACGTCTCAAGGGCGATCACAAGAAAGAGCTTTACAGATCATACACTACCTCCAAGTTGCAATCGATAAGGGTAAACACAACCTACAGTCCGCGTGCTGTAAGTTGACGCACAATGCCCCGAGGGTGGGAATTCCAGGAAGACTGGTCTATAGTTCCCTGGCTTTTCCTTACAGCCTTTTTAAAATAACGGCGCATTATCTAACCTCCCGTCTTCTGACGCCTCACTTGCAGTTATGGATGATACAAATATCTCCGCAAGGGGCCCGAACAATCTCTTCCCTAGCTTCCCTCGAGGTTCTGGGAAACACCTGACCAGGTCCCAGGGATTTATCTACCTTTATAAATTTTAAGATCTCCAGCACCTCCTCTTCTATAATATAAACTCTTCAAGACACTTTATTTCCCTATGTTCCTGAGCTTATATGTCCTTCTCCACAGCAAACACTGATGCAAAATTTTCATTTAGCAACTCACCAATCTCCTGTGTTTCCACACATAGATGGCCATGTTGATCTTTAATGGGCCTATTCTCTTCCTCGTTACTCTTTTGCCCTTAATGTACTTATAGAATCTCTTTGGCAAATATCATTAAAGAAAATCCAAAGCTATATCATGTCCCTTTTTTTGCCCTCCTGATTTCCCTCGAGTATACTCCTACTGCCCTTATCCTCTTCGAGGGATTCACTTGATCCCAGCTTCCTGTACCGGACATGTTCCTCCTCTTTTTCTTGACCAGAGCCTCAATTTCTCTGGTCATCCAGCATTCCCTGAACCTACCAGGCTTGCCTTTCACACTAGCAGGAACATATTGTCTCTAAACTCTGGTTATTTCCTTTTTTAAAAGCCTCCCAATCCCAACGATCCTTTTATGCGAATAGGCTTCCCCAATCAACTTGAAAGTTTTGAAAAAGTCTAATGCTGACAAAATTGGCCTTACTCCAATTTAGAACTTTTACTTTTTGATCAGTTCTATCCTTTTCCATGACTATTTTAAAACAAATAGAATTATGATTACTTGCCCCAAAGTACTCCCCCACTGACACCTCAGTCACTTACAAAGAACAAAAAAGAACAATACAGCACAGGAACAGGCCCTTCGGCCCTCCAAGCCTGTACGGACACATTTTGTCCTTCCATACTAAAGCTGTCTGTCTTCACTAACATGATTCATATCCTTCCTATTCAGGTATTCGTCCAGGTGCTTCTTGAACACTGCTATCGTGTCTGCATCCACCACCTTCTCTGGCAACGTGTTCCAGGCACTCACCACCCTGCGTGTGAAAAACTTGCCTCACACATCTCTTAAAACTTTTCATCCAGTACCTTGAACCTGTGCCCCCTAGTAATTACCTTCTCCACCCTGGGAAAAAGCCTCATACTTTCCACTCTATCTATGCCATTCACAATCTTATAAATTTCTATCAGTTCACCCCTCAACCTTCTACGTTCTAGTGAAAACAAACCCAGTCTATCCAAGACAACAAGGTGCAGGGCTGGATGAACACAGCAGGCCAAGCAGTATCATAGGAACAGAGAGGTTGACGTTTCGGGCCCAGACCCTTCACCTTTTCTCATGGCAGGCAACATCCTGGTAAACCTTTTCTGTACCTTCTCCAAAGCATCCACGTCCTTCCTGCAGTGCGGTGACCAGAATTCTATGCAATATTCCAAGTGTGGCTGAAATAAAGTTCTATAAAGCTGCAGCATAACTTGCCTATCCTTGTACTCAATGACCCTTACAATGAAGGCAAGCATGCCATAAGCCTTTTTTACTCCTTTATCTACCTGCGCTGCCACCTTCAGTGATCTGTGGACCTGCACACCCAGGTCCCTTTGCCTTATTTCCCAACAGAAGGTCAAGTAGGTATAGAATATCCTTTATGGTCATGTGTATTCAATACAAAATACAATTCAAAGTGGGTACTGTCACTGTACATAGGCACCATTCACATTAACTCAGAATAAAGTTAAAAAAAAGTTAAAAAAGAAAGAGAGAGTGTCCAACTTTCCCTTCTCTGCTGCTACAGCATGCCACCGGCAGAGTCCTAATCCGGGCTTCCCAGTCCTCTCCATGTCACCACCAGTCCACTCCACATGGAAGCAAGGGTTCCGTTCCAGGTTTCCCGGGCCAGCTGACTGGAGTATTGTACCTACTCGAGAAGGAGCATCTTGTACACACTTAAATTCCTCCCCATCCAAGCTCTCCACCCAAGATTGGTGGAGTAGCAGATAGTGAAGGGGACTGCAGCAGAATATAAATAGATTGGAGAGTTGGGCGGAGAAATGGCAGATGGAGTTCAATCCAGGCAAATGCAAGGCGATGCATTTTGGAAGATCCAATTCAAGAGCGAACTATAAAGGTAAATGGAAAAGCCCTGGGGAAAATTGATGCACAGAGAGATCTGGGTGTTCAGGTCCATTGTACCCTGAAGGTGGCAACGCAGGTTGATAGAGTGGTCAAGGCAGCATACAGCATGTTTTCATTCAGACAGGGTATTAAGTACAAGAGTTGGCAGGTCACGTTACAGTTGTATAAGACTTTGGTTCGACCACATTTGGAATACTGCGTACGGTTCTGGTCGCCACATTAAGGATGTGGATGCTTTGGAGAGTGTGCAGAGGAGGTTCACCAGGATGTTGCCTGGTATGGAGGGCACTAGCTATGAAGAGAGGTTGAGGGGGGACCTGATTCATGATTTTGTAGACTTCAGAGGTATAGACAGGGTGGATAGCAAGAAGCTTTCTCCCCCCCCAGAGTGGGGGACTCAATTACTAGGGGTCATGATTTCAAGGTGAGAGGGGAAAAGTTTAAGGGAGATATGCATGGAAAGTTCTTTACGCAGAGGGTGGTGGGTAACTGGAACGCATTGCCAGCAGAGGTGGTAGAGGCAGGCACGATAGCATCATTTAAGATGCATCTAGACAGATACATGAATGGGCAGGGAGCAGAGGGATACAGATCCTTGGAAAATAGGCAACAGGTTTACATAGAGGATCTGGATCAGCGCAGGCTTGGACAGCCGAAGGGCCTGCTGTAATTTTCTTTGTTCCAACGCTATTATAGTCCCAATCTACGTTTGGAAAGTTAAAATCCCCTACTGTTAGAACTTGGCTACTTTTACAGATAAAAAGATCTCCTTACGTATTGGTTTCTTAATTTCCCACTGACTATTGCTGGGCGTCTAGTACAATCCCAAAAAGGTGATCATCCCTTTCTTATTTCTCAGCTCCACCCATATAACTTCACCAGACAATCTTCCAGGAATATCCCAAGTACAGCCGTAATATTATCCCTGACCAAAATCATCACTGCTGCTTCACTCTTTCCTCCCTTTCTGTCCTTCCTATTGCATCTATATCACAGAACATTAGGCTGCCAGTCCTGTCCAGCCCGGAGTCATGTTTCTGCAATAGCTGTGATATCCCACTCCCATGTTCCCAACCATGCCCCGAGTTCATCTGTCTTACCTCAGGCCTCTTGCATTGAAATAAATGCAGTTTAAATTTATCAGTCTTACCTCGTTCTCTGCCAAGCTCTTGTCTGCCTTGACTATTTAGGTTGCTCCCCATATCTACTGAACCTTTTCTCTTTTCTCACTAGCGCTTCGGTTCTTCCCCACTTCTTAGTTTAAAGCCTCCCTCGAAGCACAAGCAAACCTCCCGCCAGGATATTGGTCCCCTTCAATTCAGGTGGAACCTGTCCTCCTTATCCAGGTCATTTCTACTCCTGACGAGATCCCAGTGGCCCAAAAAAAGTGCGAATCCCTGCCCTCTAAACCAGCTCCTCAGCCACTCATACATCTGCCCAATCCTCCTATTCCTACTCTCACTAGCTCGTGGCACGAGGAATAATACAGATATTACTACCAGAGACCTACTTTTTTAACCTCCTGCCTAGTTTCTTACATTCTCTCTGCAGAACGTCATACTTTGCCCTACCTAGGTCATTGGTACCAACCTGCACAATGATCTCCTGTTGGGCACTCTCCCCTTTCTGCACTCTCTCAGACAGACAGTCTTGACCTAAGCACCAGGGAGGCCAACATCATCCTAATGTCTCGTTGATGCCGCAGAGACGTCTGTCTGTGCCCCTTACCTGAGAGTCTCCTTTTACAACCGATCGCTTGGCACCCGACATATCCTTTATTTCAGTACAACAAGTCACAGTACCAGAAACCTGGCTGTCAGCACTATATTTCCCTAAGAGGCCACCCAAAACAGCATCAACAAAGTTGCTGGAAGAGCTCAGCAGGTCTGGCAGCATCTGTGAAGGAAAAATCAGAGTTAACGTTTCAGGTCCTGTGACCCTTCCTCAGTTCCAGACCTGAAACATTAACTCTATTTCTTCCTTCACAGATGCTGCCAGACCTGCTGAGCTTTTCCAGCAACCTTGTTTTTGTTCCTGATTTACAGCATCCACAGTTCTTTCATTCTTTTTATCCAAAACAGCATACCTGTTTGAGATGGGGATGGCCATAGGAGACTCCTGCACTACCTGATTACCTCTCCTAACATTCCTAGCAGTCAACCATTTACCTGACTGTATGCGCATTGTCTCCACCTTCCTGAAATTACCATCCATCACACACCCTTGCTCTTATAAACTTATCATTGCCTCTAATTGGCGCTCCAACCAATCCACACGGTCCAGTAGGATTCGCAACCAAACACTTCCTGTAGGCATAGTTTCTAGAAACATTCAAATTCTCCCTGATCTTCCACATCTGACAGCGAGAGCACATGATCCTACTAAAAGCCATCTCTGCCCCTTTATTAATCTACAGACCGAAAAAATTACCTAGAAACTAATATAATACATTTTGTTTAAAAAAAGTTTTTCAGGATCTCCTCATAACTGAAGTTCCTCATCCCTGGAACCATTCTGGTAAATTTATGCACCGTCTTTGATGTATTTGTATCTTTCATATAACATGACGCCCAAAACAGTACCAAATACATCAGCTAAGGTCTAATAAGTGCCTCGTATACTTAACTTTCCTATTTTTATTTTGTGAAGTTTGCAAAATGGGCTCAAAAGACATAACACATCATGGATGCACGTTAAATAATGGAAAAAGGGAAGGTCAGGTTAACTTACATCTCATGTAAATGACCATTCTCCACCCTCTGCTCTACGTATGCCAGTGCACGGACATGCAATGGAGAATGAGGGAATGCAGAGTGGACCCATGGCAACCCAAAAATAGATAACGCAATGTTGATTATGCCGACAAGAAAGATATCCCAGTGATAACCTGTGCCTTTTACTAGCCTGCAAAGAGAAAATTTGAGGAAAATAAAAGCTAGCAGCCAGCGACTGTTGACACATCCGCACAACAGAGAGGATAGTAGTGAGGAAGACAGCTTTCTAATCCTCCTCGTAACATCAAATATTTATATAACACTCAACGTAATAAAACATCCAAAAGCATGTCACAGTGTGTTGTTAACCAAAACACAATGCAAAGAGACAGAGGTAGGATGACAAAGTTTCAGGGAGGGAATTACAGCGTTTAAGTGACAGGTGGCTGATTTTCACTGTCCAATGGAGGAGAAGTGCTTATTTCAGGGATGTTTAAAAGGAGAGTAGAATTATAGGAGTACAGGCTTCTCCCAAGGCTGTAGGGCTGCTGCAGGTTATAGAGGTTGGAGGGGCAAAGCCATGGAAGGATATGGAGGGGAACTGCAGAGCTTGGGAGGTAACTGAGGGATCGAGGTGCCCTGGTACATGAATCACAAGAAGTTAGTGCGCAGGTGCAGCAAGTCATAATCCAGGTACATGGGACATTTTAGTTGTACAGGGCAGTGTGAAACCACTTTGATATTATTTAAAGACAATTTCCATTAGAAGCAGAAGAGCCGATTCACTCAACTAAATCCTGGGACGAGAAGCTTGTTTTGTCTTTACCTCAGAAGGCGGTGGAGGCTCAGTCCTTGAAAATATTCAAGGAAGATAAAGATAGCTGTTTAGATATTAAATGCATCAAGGGGTATGGGGAGAAAGTGGAATATGGCATTGACAGAGGATCAGCTATGATCATGTTGAATGCCGAAGCAATTTCTCATTATAAGTCCCTCCAGCATCTCTTCGCAGCCTGAACATTGAAAAACAGGCAAAAACACCCGATTCCAGGAACAACGTTCCATTTGCATCCTCATTAACAATTTAGACTGCGCATTGAGGGTAACTTTTAAGGAAAGCCAAAATGCAGAAACATTACAATTGAGGAAATGAGCTCAGGGAGATGGACAGATTAAACTGTCAAGGAGGATTACGAAAGCAGATGTAGCAAGGTGAAGGTAATGCCTCTCCAAGCACAATGGGCAAAGTCCTCCAGCACTGATGGACAGAGATGGAGACTGAGCAGAACGCAGAATCTATAGAATGGTTAAGCTAGGAAACAAGGCTGGAGCAGATTAGACCGAGAGCACGGGACTAATAGGAAAGTTTGTTGACACCTTACCTGTTCTGAGGGGCATTTGTTAATGACATCACAATGTTCTGTTCCAAGTAGAATAGCATTGACAGAAGGAAGCCCAAACCCATCCCACCAAATATTGCTCCAATCGAGAGGAGGTGAAATGGGGCCAGGTTGAATAAACCATTATTGGGATTATAACTAAATGAAGCAACTGGAAAATTGAAATAAAATTAAACGTTAGAAGTGGTCAGCATTAACACAATCACATGAATAATTAAAAAAAAACAGATGCAGTTATTGAAACAATAACCCAAATTGCTACATTCCCAATGTTTAAAACACCTGATCAGCTGTACATAATGTATTATATTTAAGAGAATTTGCAGCTAAAATTCCATTGAAAAAATATTTTCAGGCATTAAAGAGCCTTTACTTGTGCATAACAACCCGGCTGTATCCTTCTTCCTGTTAGGCGCAATTGTAAGGCCATCAACTAGTCTTTGCTAAAAGGAAACATGAGGTTAAGACTCTTCATCTTGCACTCATCAGGACCAAAATACAGGAAATGCAGACTTGAGTAAAGTCATACCCATTTGTACATCATGAGAGGCGCATGCCGATTGGTCAGGATATCATTGGCATGGGGATGCAAGAGCAGTTAACTGTCAATTTTATTTCTCAGACTAGGCAGGCAGACCCTAAAGGGTCAGGATCTTTCCATAAGAAGGCAGAGATTGGCCGACTCCAGGACACCTGTTCTTTTTACATTAAAAAAGATGCAAATACGTACAAATTCCTTTTGCTGAAATAAAACAAGGTACTGTGCATTAACATGTAGCTTCTAACATGTAGAAAAGTATCACACCAAAAGCCTGACTGATGATTTAAACTGGTTTCCAGTCTAACTCTTAGAACAGTCTGGATTATTTAATAAATGGTTTCCAATCGAGAACCTTTGCTGAGGCTTACAGATATGGGTAGATTGAGCATGGGCAGTGTGATATGCTATTTGATGTTTTGCCTACTACACAAGTCAGGAATATGACAGGAATTTCAGGCCAGCACGATGCCAGGTATGAGGCTGTACAGAAGACTATATCAGTCAAGACAGACCATTCACAGTAGGCAACATGCCAATTGGGCTCAACCAGCCCATACTCGCAAGCCTCAGCAAGGTATGTCCACAATCATGTGATTCTGCTATTGGAACTAATTTCTTAAATAGTCCACACTGTGCTAAGAGTTACACTAGAAACCAGTGCAAGATCATCAGTCGGGCCCACAGTCTGGTACATTTTCACATGGTTAAAAGCTGCACATATTCGTGCATAGGACCCTGTTTTATGTTGGCAAAGGGAAAAAAAAAGAAAAATCACACAGTCATTGCACCTTGTCCATGGAGAAAACAATAAGGGTCATCCACATCTGAATTTTACTGGCAACATCCTGACCAATCAGAATCCACCTGCCTGGCCTGGGAATTAAGATCAACAGTTAACTGCTCTTGCTGAAGCTGCATGTCAACGACGGCCCAACCAATCAGCAGCCTCTTCTGATGCTGTATAAACCGGCACCACTTTTGTTAACAAACAACTGCACCTCCCAGTCGCGAACCATTTCAACTCCCCCTCCCATTCCTCAGATGACATGTCCATCCTGGGCCTCCTGCAGTGCCACAATGATGCCACCCGAAGGTTGCAGGAACAGCAACTCATATTCCGCTTGGGAACCCTGCAGCCCAATGGTATCAATGTGGAATTCACAAGTTTCAAAATCTCCCCTCCCCCTACCGCATCCCAAAACCA